GGGGGGCGCCAGCCGAAAATTGCACTTTTGGCTACATGCCATTTTCCTGCCGATGCTTTGGCGCATCCGTGTTTTTTTTCCTCCCCGCTAGGCGCTGCTCTCTATCCCAGCGGGGAGGAGAGAAAGTGACAGCCTGCGAGAGGAGAGCGCTGTAAGTGACCGGTGTCTCTCCTCCCACACCGCTCAGCCGCCTTTTACAGTCCGGCAGAGCGGTGTGGGGGCGGAGACAGGCCGCGCTGTCACAGGAGGCGGAGCTCTCCTCCCTGCTCTGCTCGCTCAGCCTCCTGTGACAGCGTGTCAGAGAGGAGAGCGGTTACAAGCAGTCAGTGATCAGTGATCACTGAGTGTTTGTACATAACATGAGGACATGGTATGGTTACTATATCCTTAATTATGAATTAATGGGAATGTTCTACATCACCTCCTGTTCATTCATAGTTGTAGTTATAGTAAACATACCATGTTATCAATGACCAGGAACACTCAGCATAGGGGATTCCTGTTCATTGATAACAGGGGACACAGAAAAAGAGATTGAGGACTCTGTGTTCTCAATTTCTTTTACTATTTTAAAAGGGAAATATCAGGGGTCTGTTTAGACCCCCAATATTTCCGCAAAGCCCCTAAAAGTAAAAGTAAAATATAAAAATATTTATTAAAAAATGAATTAATAAATAAAAAATAAATATAACCTTTTTTTAAAAGTTTATAAATAAAAATACAATGCCATTATAGAACGTAGAATAAAACATAGATAAACTTAAATGTTCTATTCTTAGTTCTATAATGGCATTGTAGTACTTTCAGGTGGACAGTAAATAATACAGCTTCATAATATATCAGCTTGGGGGTGTAATATATTGCAGCTTACCAATCCTTAGATGTGGTGGCTGCATTAGTTTTCTTTTTTTTTTTCACCTGATTTAGGGGGCTTCCACCCTATGAAGGAGCTACCCTGGGACAGCAGCATTGTCTTCCTGGGGGGAGGGTATTGTTAGCTGCACCAGGACATTTAGATGGGCTTGACTAAGGAATTAAATCAGTACTCCAACTTACAATTTTACAGCTCCAGCAACAGATGTATTTCTTTCCTTTTGGGATGACGGTTTTACATAAATGAATAAAACCGCCCCTGTCACTGTGAAATGGTTTGTCTCAACCCTCCGAATGCGGCTTTTGCTGGACAGCTTGGCCTGGTAAAGGAAGCGGAAAAATAACAGCGTTAAGGTCCCCACACACCTTACGATAATCGCGGCAAATCCTTACGGTAGTATAGGTCGCACGACCTTAAACATACGAACATGTTTCAAAACCCGCCGAGCATCGTACGATGTTCGGCGGGTGTGTAGCATGTTTGTGAGATAAAAGCCGGACGGGCCGGTGTGTGCAAGCGCACACTGCCCGTTCTGCATTGCGGTCATCGGAAGCCCGCCCCTCAGGGGGCGTGGCTTGCGATGATCGCAAGTACGATCTGCCTGTCCAAGATAGGCAGATCGTACGTTTTTTTAAGTACCTTACAACCATCGCAAGACAAAAATCTTGCGATGGTTGTAAGGTGTGTGCCCAGCCTTACTGGCCAGATCTCCAGGCAAATCAGATCTTAAACTGGCCACACACTGCTTAGATTTTCAAAAGAACTTTCCTATAAAAAGAGCGTGCGTTTGATTTTCTATCAGTTGATGGGGTCAAATCGACGAGCAATTTCGACCGTACTGATGAAAAAAGTCGTAGGAGCATGATGGAAAAGTTTTCCTGAAGGAAGGAAATGGTAACAGTGAATGTGGTTTTCGTTCGGGAAACAAACACCATCCATTCCAAAATCAAACGGAATATCGATCGACATTTGTCAAGTGTCTGATGGCATTATTATCGGGTGGTAAAGAAAGATCTTTTGTATGAACATTTGTAAGGTCAGCGTTAACCCTTGCAGTGGGGCTACCCCGGCACTGCAAGGGTTAAGTGCTTGTTTTGTCTGGGGAGCTAAAACAATAAAGTTATACTCACCTGAACTGCGATCCTGGCTGGCTCCACTCCTTCAATCCAGCGATGGAATGTCCCTCGGCATCCTCATGTCGGACACACTGTATTGATGACTCACAGGACCTTAGACCGCTGGAGCAGAGGTGGAGAGAGGCTGAAGGGACCAGTCTAGGAGCCAGCCAGGATTGAGGTTCAAGTGTTTATATCTTTGTTATTTTATCTCTCTAGACCAGGGGTCCCCAACAGGGTACGTAACCTGTCAGAAACCAGGCCGCAGCCGCCTCTGCCTCCTGTCAGAATAAGATCAGAATGTGATACACTGTGACAATGTATTGCACCTCGCCTACACAACGCACACCAGCGTGCATGCAATTTAGTGTGTGGACTGGTGTGAACAAGCCCTGAAAATGAAACACGGATATATTCTATACTATGAGCGACTAGAAATGTTCTATCACACGTTTCACTTGATACCCACCATCTCTTTACTGACGTCACTGGTTGCCAGGAGCTTGGCGGGATGCCAGCCAGAGTGTCCAGTTCAGCTCCCTGGCAACTGATTTATGTCGGTAAGCTGGGCGGGAAGCCGGGCAGAAGGTCACAGGTTGCTAAGAGCTCTTAGGAACCTGGGATTCTGTGGCTGCTCGTCCCCACACCTGCCACCCCCCTAATGAGATGTCACCTGAGGAGATTGTCTCTGACTGCCTCTTTATAGGGACAGCCCTGCTTCTCATTCACTGACAAAGCACAGGTTTAGAAATGGGGAATAGGACAGCATAACTTGAATGAAACGAAACAATTCCCATGTAAAAAATGAACAGTTAGCAGCCCCAACTTATAAAAATCAAAACTATTATTGGTCACGACCTATGCTGCTACTCTAATGACAGACCGCACCGCGTCACGCATGTAAGAAATCTGCACAACGTTGAGAACTCTCTTCTGCCCATATAAAACATGGCGGACGTTGTCTCAGTTTAGTCACGTGGATGCGGCGGAAGAAGCGCCGTGACGCAGAGGTGAAGGGGATGACGTAGGGCGGACGCAGTGCCCGCAGATTGTAGAGTTTGAGAGACTGTTCCGTCAGCGGAGTACGGGGAATGGAGGATGAGGTGTCTGAGTTCCTGAGGCAGAACCGGGAGACGGCGACATGGCTGGAGAGCATACGGGGGGAGTGCGAGTCGGACAAGCTGTGGCGGCACCGGAGAGAGTTCATTGTGCGGAACATGGCAGACTTTTGTGGGCCCGGGCAGCCGCCACCGCCGCCCCACTCCAACCACCAGGGACTGGACCGGCTACTTGCCTACTCCATGGTGTGGGCCAACCATGTGTTCATCGGCTGCCGGTATGTGTGTCCATGGACCGGGCAGAGCAACCACCTGATGATGCCGGGAGTGGCTCTTCCTGTGTGTCCGCCCTCAATGCTATAGTCATTCCTCCATTGCAAGAAAATACACTCTGCTAAATGTAAAACATTGCCAGAAATCCAGAGAGCTGACATCCTCCTGTTCTCTCTCCTTGTGCTGCACTCTTTACAAGTTCATTGAGGGGGATTGATCAGAACTGGAGCAGTTGCCTGTGACAACCAATCTGCTTCCCTCTTTGATTTTCAGATCTTATCTGAAGAGAGATGCTGATGGTTACCATGGGCAACTGCTCCAGTTTTGGTACATTCCCCCCCAGTGTTCCATGTTAACTCCATGAATTATAGAGCACCTCCCCTTTTGTTATGGAGAAGGGAAAGAGTTCTGCAGCTCTGTCCTAAGGTGACAGCATGCTCCCCTCCATAGGTACAGTGAATGTTGTCACCCTAGGACAGGAAGTGTGTAAGTGGCAGTAGTCAGCCTCCAGAAGGAAGGACAGTGTCAGCACGAATGCAGAGATTTGAGGAGCTACAGCCGAGTGATACACAAATAAGATACAATCAAGTACCCAAACTATTAACACAAATGTATTTTTAAAACTCCTGAGTTTGGTGTTTATATAAAAACAGA